CGCGTGTTGGAGTAACAGGTGGGATTCAGGCTTTTGCAGGTGAGCGTTGTAGGTGCATCACGGACGGAGATGAGAGAACATGAATCGATGGGACCGGTGAAGCTCGGTGAGACACACACACATCAAATGTGGATCTGTGGGGTTGATGAGAGCTTCTGGATAAGAGACGACGACGTCATTCTCGTGTCCAAATGTTAACCAAGTCCTACAATGCTTCCCATACCCAAGAAAAATCAGGCGCAACATGTGATTTGCAAGTCATCATGACGCTGTGAAACAGTCAATTTGCGCAGCGCAGATGATTCCCTGTGATCCAGCTATGTACAAGCAAAAGCTATCACGATGATGAAGTCCACTTGCCGCAACGAACATTCACCCCCGGAAAGAAAATAGCAACCACAGACCCCCTCTCGCAATTAGGTCGACTGATATGTTGTCACAACACACTCCCGATTCAAGTAGCTCAATCTCGTAGTCTGTTCTCAATGATGTGACGCCCAGAGACAAACGGACCAAGGACGCAGCATGATTTTCGGTTTTGATCCAACTCGTTGGAATGATTGGCTTAGTCATCAGCAAGAAGAGGAGCACGCTCCGCATCGGCGGGAGCCGAACCACGGCCCCAGTTGGTCTCGCGGCCAGTCCAGGCGGGCACAGCGACGGCGAGCGTGGAAACGAAGAGGACCGACATGATGACGAACGCAAAGATCCACTGGAAGGCGACGATCTGGTGGAGGAACTGGCCGACGCCGATGGAGGCTGCGAGGACGCTGAGGGCGAAGCCGATGGTGTAATCCTGGGCCGAGTTAGCACATAGCCCAGATAAGAAAATAAAATGCTTGTGGGCGGTTGTTACCTTGTAGGCCAAGATGAAGAAGCCTCCGTAGGCCAGGATGGACCAGATGAAGATGTTGCCGAAGATGCGGGCCACAAGGGAGTCAGGGTGGTGCACCATGATGGCGCCGTTCCAGTAGATGGCGACGAAGGTCCAGGCGAGGGGTCCGGCAACGGCGGGCGCGTGGATGAAGCGGGGGAAGGTGTTGTGGCGGAAGTAGAGCGAGGACAGGTTGATGAAGTTAATAGATCAGGATAACTTCTGCCCCCGCGAAGTGGGAGCGGACGAAGAGCATGACGAAGGCAAAGTGCAACAGGTTGTTGAAGATGAAGTGGCTGCCGACACTGGCAGCAGCCTGAACATGTCGGTGTTCTTCGAGAACAGGTGAGCGACGTAGCCGATCTGGAGAATGAAGAGGACGATCCTAGGTGTTGTCAATTGCGCGTTGGCTTGCGTCCGTCAGGGACGACTACTCACCAGTAGATGCTGGTAATGAGGGAGTTCAAGGTGAAGGCCGTGGGGTACAGACGGTTCTGGTCCCAAATGCTTTTGCGGATGGTAAAGCCATCATGAGGGGTGTACAGAACATAGTAAAACGAGACGATGACAGACAAAAGCCACGACAAGATGGTCAGAACCTTGTATGTGGTGATTGAGCCGGCGCTGTGCGTCTCCTTCTTGGCGAAGGGGTTGACTTTAGGAATCAATGTATGTCAGCTTCATTTGCTTTGAGGATTTGGATGCACAGTTTGGAGGCGGAGGTCACGACCGTTGACCAGCCACTGTGATAGGAAGGACTTACGTGCGTGAACTCGGTCCATGTTGTTATGATGATGCTGGCGTTGGCTTCGGCTCGCGTACTACGTCGATTAGGGTATGTATTGCGAGCGGAACCTCACTTCGACTCTGATGCTTGTTGGACTAAAACGGTCGATAGGCAACTCGACTGCGGATGACAGGGCGAGAAGGCGAGAGGGCGAATGGAATGGAAGAGGGGGAGCCCGTTGTATTTAAAGCGGCACGGTCGTTCGTCGTCATGCGGGTGACCGTCGCAAGCCGGGTAGAGACCGAGCGAGGGGTTCAGAAGGGGGCGAGTGCGGTACGAGTCTCTGAGGAGGGATGTCGTAGGTGGTGTGTCTTTCTCATGTACCTCTACGAAGAGACCCAGGTCGAAGAGTGGCTAGTGAGATGCGTTTCAGCGGCAAGGCAAGGTCGACTGGCTGGACAAGGCGACCAGGGAAGCAGGCAACAGGCGGCATGGGGCAGTTCCATGCTAGATCGACGCCAGCTACAAGGGTGTCTGTCTGTCTTTCTTTCTCGCCCGCGCTTTCCACCTTGCGTAACTCTCGAAGCCACAATGTGCTACGTATCCTAGCTAGGCAAGTGCTACAGACATGATGCGACTGCCAGAAAAATAGCCTTTGTACCTTGGGTTCTTCCAACATGATCACGTTGCCTGTGCCCGTATGTAGATACCTGTCTCTTCGTTGACGGTTGAGCTACTCCTCGTGAGACAATCAATGGTACTGCCTGCGAACCCAGAGCTGACCGCTTTACAAGCCGCACCACTCGGGCCATGACAACCCCCATCTCGTGAGGAATGCAGTATGCACCAGGCGTATCATCAGCGACGGCAGCGACATCAGGTGTGTCGGGGGTGGTGCCAAGGCACATGCCATCACACGGTTTCATTGGCCCAGGGGCAGGAAGCTCTCCTGGTATGACGACTGTTCCCCCGCTTTCTGGCCGCTTTCTCGACACACCAGCCACAGTCATAGTGGGGCAGCCGTAGCGTCCGCTCCGGAGGAGCACCTGACGCCCAGTAACTCGTCACGTCTCGCGCTTGCTTCCCTTCCTTCCAGCGACCGACCGTGGGCTGCACCTTCCTAGCTGCGGCCAATCGCCCAATCGACCGACCCCCGATCGCCCCAGCCAGTTGCAGACGCGCTCTGCACCTTCACGTGGTGTCAACGAAAACCCCGATCGATCGGTCTATTCCCTACTCGACTGGCGCCGCCCTGGTGTCTGTCCATGAGACTCGTCGTCAAGGCGCTGCCTGCGTCCCTTGGACTTTTCATTGCTGTTTCACGCCGATTCACGCAGCATCAGGTCACAATGGCTGTTCAACGGTTTATATGGACTGAAGTTCTGCTGACTGGTTGACTGTTTGTCTGTCCAAAAATACATGAAATCGCAGAAGAAATACCTCAGCTGCGGTTGTACTGTGGACCCATGTGTACTGTACGTACTCCTTTTGCTCGCCTTTCCAGATATCATACCATTACAGAAGAACAAAGTACAATCGTCTCGCTCATCAGTTCTCAGTCACCTCCACGTCCTCACAACGTAGTCATGGCAGAGACCGCGTCTTGCC